AAGAATATAAAAGATCATTTTACAATAGCAATTGGAAATTATCGTTGTAATTTAGCAAATCTATAAAAGAAAAAAAAAACCTCTCAAAATTACAGTAATAAAGATTCGAGTGCTCAAAGATCAATGTGATCAATCAAACCTTTTATTATTTGCACTATTACCAAAACATCATGTATGAAGCCGAAAACATTAAAAGGAAGCCCGCTTGGTGTAGTGACATCAATTGGATTTGCTATGACAAATGCTCCATCATCTTCTGACTCCTCGTAACTGTTTACTAACAATGAATTCAACATATAACATCTGTTAAAATTTTCAAAAAAAAAAAAAATCAAAATCTACAAAATTTGTGTTGAATTATAAAAATTTTTTTCAAATTGCAAAATTATAACAAAAATGGATATAATCTTACCATTTTGATTCATTTCAGATAAGGATAAAATTTTTTGCATAGTTTCATACCCAAGATTAGGATCATCTTTAATATGAAAATTAAGCTCATCATCTTTCACAAGTGTCGTTTTCACTTCTGGTATTTTCATTGGCGATAAATGCTACAATATTATATTTTATAGCATAAAGAGGGCAGAATGGAATGAGATGAACGAACAATGAATAATTTGGCACTTATACTGTAATTCTCTCATAGAATTATCATGTCATTATCTTTTATCATCCATAAAATGCACAATCAATCTACATCACTGATAAATAATAAAATAGTAGAAAATATTTAAAAGAAAATTTGCTTAATGTATGCAAATTAAAAAAAAAACTTATAGAAAGGAAAAAGGTAAGCAAAAGTAAATAAAATTGAATTGAAATACCGAAATGATTTTGTTCATTGCTTCCAAATTACCCTTTACAGCTGCTTCACTGAAGATCTCATCGTTCACTGCAAAACAATAAATACACCAAATTACTTTAAACAAATAACAAGTTTTTTTTTTTAATTTAATGCAAATTATACTTTTTTTCATTGAATATCTGACTTAAAAATTTTAAATGCTCATGAATGATGTCATAAAAGAAAATAACAGAAAAATAAGTCTTGATTATTTAGAAAAAGTAAAGTAATAAATACTTTTGTAGTTGATAGAGAATGATCATTCAGATATGTTCTTCTCTTCTCAACCATTATTGTACTGATTTTTTGGCAAACTTTTTTTTGACAACTTTTCGACAAACTTTTAGCATCAGAAATTTATTTCCTTTTTAAATTCTCAATGAAATTTAAGTTTTAAAAACGAACTACACATGAAAATAACAGTGAGATATTTGTGTATTCCTGGACCGCATCCGGTTTTACCGAATTGTTCGTCATTCACTAATGCTGTGCATTCTGTTCGTGCATGACAATTGTACAGTACTTGATCCAAAACATTTATCATACAATCTGTAATGATCAGAAAACATTCGAGAAAATTAATCATAAATTTCAACATTCAAACAATTACAGTTATCAAAGTATGACTGAAATAAGACACAAACTTATTTTTCTTTTCACGCTCAAAATTACTACAACATACTGGAACACTGATAGTAAGTAGCAAATATTTCAACCTCTGATCTCTTACCTATCCAATTTAAAAGTTTATTGTTAAAGTGATTTCCGAGAGTTAATCAAGTAATAAAATTACATAATTATATTTAGGAACTTTGAACATTTT